CCCCAAAACCCCAAAACCCCAAAACCCCTAGATGATTTGTGTTTGAATAAGGAATGAACGATAAAATTTATGAATTAATTAATTATTAAGAAAAATAATGCTTCTTCTAAACAAAAAACGAGACGAAAATCGCAATGACATCAACTAAATGCCACATAGCTAGATGTCGTCTAGACCTCCGCAGAGTTAGCGTGGTCCTCAAATACTTTTAAAGAAAGACTTTCAAAACTTTGGAGTTAACAAGATCTAGAATCTACAAAAAGTGGTGAAATTACAATAGATATAGAACAATGATATGTATCAGTTAAATAACGAAATTTCAAATAGAGTCATCTCTCAGGCATCAACATAATCTACAACAGTGCAGAATTCATAAGCATCATCTCGAGACATTTCAGCGATCTTCAATAGCTCACTTATGAATCGGCCAATTTTAGGAAGTAGAAAGGGTAGTCTGACTTAATTTCCTCAGCCATAGATGCAAATGTAGCTTGATATGGGAATATCAAGGCAAGGCCAAGGATTTCCTTTGTAAAGTATTCAATTCTCAAATGGTTCTCATTAGTAATAGCATATATTAAATCTTCAAAAACTCAATATCAGTAATAGCAGCAATAACAACACAATTTCTGATAGGTCTAACTTTGACGGACAATCTTCAAGCATCCAAACTTCTGCAAAAATCACTCCTGTAATTAATATGAATAAAATTAGGAAAAACTAAAAGCTTGAATCATTAGTACTCAACAAATTGGCTGAAGAGTAGATATTCAGGACATAAGTCGCATACACCTCTAGAGCTTAGGACTAAAATGAATCAAGTGGAAACTTATCTTAAAGGCCTCAAACTATAAATTCTCATTATCAAACTGAGCAATCTTAGGTTTTTGACGATTAGAGTATTGTAATAAGAAAGAAATCGAAGTATTAATCTCCAGCTAAAAGAAATGGCTCTCGTGATAGCTCTGTCCAATAGAGTCCGAGGATATCAAGAGAAAAGCTGATTTTCACAGCTGATAAGAGAAGAGGGTCTTGTATTGATCAAGAAGGTAAACCTTAACTTGAAATTAGAGAGTAGTAAAATTTGCTAACACACGCTAAGGTTTCTCGAAACAATTCCATGAAGAAACTTCACTCGATTTAAAATGGATATGAATCTGAAAATTTAGGATGTATTTAAATCCAGATAAATTAAAATGGACTTATAGAAGATTCCTAGCAGCAGAGCTAGGATTAAAACCATTAATACACTCTTAAAAGATCTAATTCAAGTGCTTAGTGTGAGTTCAGGAAAAATATGCAAACAACTAGGCTAGGGGTGTCGAAGAAGATCGTTCTACCAAAGAATAATTAATTCTTGTTCAAAACTAGTTTAAATCCAAAAACCTCTGGCAAAAAATTAAAAATACTAAGGACTGAGAGAGGTGGAAGCAGATAAAACTAATTATAATCTTTCAACTCCTAAACATCGACTTTATAAGGCTAGTAATCTTAGCATAGTACGAGTTAATCCCAATCATCTAATTAGCATTAATAAAAGCCTTAATAATAACATTAACAACAGCAACAAAATTACATAATAAACTTCAACATAAGCTTCGGATGTTTCCCAAAAGAGGAAACTTATAATCAGTATTATACTACAAACAACATAAATAATACTAATAATACAATAATCAATAATCTTAAATCATTCAATGACAGCAAAAATTTATCAGCAAGTGATTTGGAATTGCCTGGCTGCAGTTAGCTTCTTTACCAAGATGTCAGTGTTTAGATTGTCAATAAGCCTAGTGAGGACAGCCATGACTTATAGTCTGATGTAATAAAGTCAAAGCGTCATTTATTCCAAAACATCTCCATTGAATCGAAAATCTCTCAGAGTATGATAAAAGAAGAGTTTGATGAAATTAGGATGACTGTAAAGACACCCTGCTTTAACAATAACAACAATTTCTAAAATTTATCATCCTCAATAAATAACTCTGACAAGCCCTAAACTAAACATGTGTCTAGACTTATGCTATGAGGGTATAAATGAGCTACAGAGGTATAAAAATATAACTAATAATAATACACAAATTTACTGATACTTTTAACTTCTACCGTGAGTTCTATTATTTTAATAGGTCTCCTTAGAACTAATTAAAGATATTAATTATTTAGAATAAAGTTTTATTTTTGAATTTAAGAATTTAAATTTAAAACTTTTCAGTTGTTGGTATATGGATTTAAGGGGTTTTGGGGTTTTGGGGTTTTGGGG